CACACTTACTTTACTTCTCTGGGATTCTTCTCTGATTTTGTGATACTTCGGATCGGATTACATTTTTTTTTCTCTCCGATATCCGATCCAGTAATTTAGGTCAGTATAGGACCGATACCGATACATAATATGGATCAGTCCATCTCTACTACAAACGCACGCTAAATACAGAAAACAGAACATGAAGGATTGCATCGTCACACTTCAAAGAAGCAGCAGTTTATCAGTGATGTGAAGGAGCAAAGTAAAGTGTGCTTTAATTGCATGAGTGACATAGTACTGTCACTTCCACAGCTGTTTCCCCAAAAACATGTCCGTTTTGTTTCACTGTTTTTTGTTTGTTGTTGTTGTTGGGGTTTTTTTTTTGTTTGTTTTATGGAAATTCCGTTGGGTTTTGTGCCTTTTTGCAGCATTTTTCAATTTGCTGGTGTTTTCTTCAATTACAGTGCGTTTGACCTCTCAGGGCCACCATACATTTCTCACTGACAAAAGTGCCAAGCGATTATTAATAAAGGGTAAAACTTTGTATGATAACTATATAACTAATATTAATATTTGAACTTTTTATAAATTGACAGATAACTGCAGCCCTTCCTCCTTCCTTACTTCAAATTGAATGTTTTATTCCGTCGTGTTATAAAAAGTTAGCCTCTGTTTGCTTAACATGAGAAGAAGTAAATCACCTGTGCATTCGGAGAGGAGGTGGACAAATACAACATGCTCGTGTGATGCAAAGTTAAATATTATGAGTATTATTAACAGCTTACCTTATCAGTTGGCACGTGTTTTCTTAAACGTGTATTTTTGACGCTAACAAGACCGCTTTCCCCCCTTTTCTCCTTTCTCAATAATTTTTCGATATTAGACGAACTTTTCCTCTGCATCTGTGAGATGCATACCGCGCATGCGCGCAGAGCTGTCGACGCGCACAGCAGATGCTCACGGGAATCAGTCATTAAAATATTGATGAGGCGCTTTCTTCTGTTGACTCGATTACACAGCATAAACACCACATCATTTCGGTCTCAGAATCTGGTTTCAGGGGTAGTAATTACCGAACTAATTACCTGAGTTATTTTTTTTTCCAGTGACATAACCGGGAAATAAAGTTAAACAGTCATTTTTATGTAGTTTCCATATATTTAACTGTAGGCTTGGGATAATGGCACCTGCTAAAAATAAGTCACTCTTACATCCTGCAGGGTGGTGCTGTTTGTAGAGCTGTTTTAATAGTGCTGAAAGTTTAATCGATTCGGAGCACCAGAGAGCTCTTATGGAATATATCTTTTACCAGACATTCCACATTTCCAAGCTGA